CCCAATCTTCAAACTGCCCCTCACTTACCTGAATTGCGGAGTACTTCTCCCTACAGCTTTCTGTGCATCATTCACGTCTCAAGTCTCATCTGCCAACCCGGTAGAGGGATTGGAGCACAATGCAGCCACGTTACCACACTCATAGTCCATTGATTACTTCTTGCAGCCCTATAACGGTAGGTCCGTAACAACGTAGAGACCCGGGGATGCAGGTAAACCGTGCAAGAGCCTGTGCATTGCACCTGCGACTCACTCATTATGGTTGCAATGCTCTCCAGGCTTCAATGCATATATTTCAAGTGCACACAAAAGGGTGGCTCCATAAGACCTTGCAAGGTAGGGATTGCCCAATACCATTTTTTCCAGACCAAGTACCGATACTTTTCATCAAGTACTCACCAATACCAATTACCTATACTTTTTTTTAGTGTCATCTGACAGTTTTTCTAAAACAATACAGACCAATAATTTTAGGACAGTGGTGAAGTGCCAGAGCCCGTTCACAGCTGCAAACTTTGCGGCCCTGGTAGTTCTGCCACTGAATCCAAGCTGTAGAGGGACTGCAAATCTCAGCAATACATTATACAGCAATGCAGAATACCATCAGCTATAGGGGACTACAAGTCTCAGCATTATATTATAGCAATGATTAATACCACCAGCTATAGAGGACTACAAATCCCAGCAATACATTATACAGCAATGCAGAATAATATAAAGCTATATACTCTGTGCTGCTCCGGGGTGCCGACCTGATGTCTCCAGCGGAGGATCTCAGGATGGTTGGGCGGTGTCTTGGGAGGGATGCCGGGGGTCTCAGGAGGGGATCCAGGTGGTCTCCCGAGCGGGTACAGGCAGCGTGGTTGCAGGAGGAGGAGGAGATGTGCTTCGGCCCTGTAAACAGGCGCCGCTGTTCACAGGAAGGCTGCCGAGGTCCCCAGCAAGTGCAGGAGGTAAGGCAGCCACTTCAGTTAAAAAAATATAAAGCGCTGGTATCAGCATTTAGTATCAGGGCATTTTCACGTGTATGAGTACCCATGAAAATGCCCAGTATTGGCACCAATACTGGTATTGGTGCATCCCTAATACAAGGGCCACCCTAAAACAGGACATCAGGACCAGTGCTCATGCGACCAGCTGATTCTGCAGGAAACTAAAACTTTTATACATCGAGGAGCAGCATCCATTGTAAGGATTTCATCAGCATTTGAAATAGCTTAAAAACCTTTTGACTTTAATATCACTTTAAGCCAGATGACAATGATACATTCCGATAGGCCGCTGTGAGTTACTGCCTTCTATACACCGTTCTTTGCAGTACTGATTCTGTGGACAGGAAACAGCGACGAAGAACTGAAAGATATTCAATACGTTGTTTTTGTTTTGGCTGCAACTCATGGAACCACTGACGTCATTCTGTGATTCTTTAATAGAACCCTGTATGAGGATGTGTGCTGGACTACCTTGAAAGCCACATCTTCTATGGCAACTTGGTGAGAGAACGGCAAGTCCTGTTTCAGGATCCGCTGATGTCAAGTGATGTTTGTTAAAGCCCACAATTTCCTCTTTGTGACCTTTGTGGAAACATGGGGGGGGGGGGGGGGG